GCATGATGTACCCTCAGAAACACTCCTGTAACAGTTGTGAGGGCCTTGTTGAGGATCACGTTTCTATTGTGGAATAAGGTTTAAGATGCTCCGAGTCTGACTCATCTGGGTGTGCAACATTACTGACAGTTTTTATGCAGCTGAGTCTTCTGGCAAGAAATGGATTTTAACTGCTTGCCTGACCCAACTCAGCCAAACCTGAGATGGGGCTTGCCAAATAACCCATGGCACTGTGCTAATCCTCCCTCATAAAGTCTAAGCTTCACGTGCAGCTCCCCGCTGCCTCTATTCTTCTGGGTTTATGACACATAGGAGACATGAGATGATTCATTTTATCTTTCTCACTTGTGTACTTAAGAGGTACCACACAACCTGATGTTCAGGTGGACCCCGGCTTTACCCATAGGTTGGGCCTAAACCCCCTTGCAGATATTCCTTGGAGACAAACAAGATCAGGATGGATGGGACTCTGGGCACCTGATGGAGCTGTAGGTGTCTCTATTCATTGCAGGGGGGTTCTCTCCCAACTCAATTCTATGATTACATGAATTTTATATATATATATTCCTTTATTTGAGATCTGCAGCATTTTGCCTGACTTCTCCAGTGGAGACATCTCCCTTGCACACAGCTCTCACCTCCAGCCTGCACCCAGAACAGTGATCCAAGCATGTGCTGGGATTCCTGTCCTGTTGGAGCATGCTTCCAGCAAAAACCATGCATGAGCAATCTAGTACCCTCCCAAAGCTCCTGCTGTCTGCCAGGATGCTCAGCTGCATGAGAAGAAGGCAGAAACTGTCCTATGAGGGCCCTTTTGATGGTGGAGTCCTGTCTGCAACCTCTTCTGTCACGACCTCCCCGAGTAGCACTCATCAGGCAGTGCTGTCAGATTTGCAGCCAGGCTTTGCTTGCCACTGGAGAAGTGTGGTAATGAATTCCCTTTGGGTCAGCATCATCTGCCGCAGCAAACTAGACAGATGGAGCCTGAGGGAAGCATTTCCATAATGAAGCAGAGAGGCAGAGTACCTCTGTGGATGGCAGGAGTTCCCCTCTATTAACAACATTCTTAACAAACACTTTTGATGATCCTTTCACACTAACTGTTCTTCTTAGAAGTCTCTTCATTCAGTTTTACTGCTTCTCATTTTAGAGAGCTCCTTGAGCTTTCTTACAGCCCCATTCATGGACTTTTATTATAATTCAGTCCCTTATGGACTCATTTATTGATCTGCTGCACCTCCAAGTGGGCTATTAACTATGCAGTTAGTTATCACATGTGAAACACCAGTGGGAAATGTTAAATGTAGCCCCCTCCATTAAACTCAGAGTGTTCTTCTTTTCCCATCAGAAACAAATGGAAACAAAGAAGATGTCTGTGAGGTACAGCAAAGGGGGCCAGATAAATGCAAGAGCGGGAGGAACATGCTAGTGGCTCTCCTGGAAATAACTTTCCAATGGCTCCTTTTCTGTCACTTGAAGCCCAAGGACTAATGCACAACACAAATGTCTTTACTCAGGCAGCATTCCATGGTCACACACTGTCAGAAGTGTTCAACACAGCATGTTCTTACCAGTGGGCACACATCCATGTACACGGTCACGTCCAATTACCAGTGACAAGCCACACCACTGAGACAAGACATCAGGCCTCTCGGCTTTCTTCATGAATCACAGCATCATAGAATCATAGAATTGTTTGAGTTGAAAGAGATCCTTAAAGACCATCTTCCTTTTCAGTGAAAGGGACACCCACAGCTCCATCAGGTGCTCAGAGCCCTGTTTGGCCTGACCTTAGCTGTCTCCAGGGATGGGGCATCCACCACCCCTCTGGGCAACCTGTGCCAGTGTCTTATTACCCTTATTCTGAAAAACCTCTTCCTTATATCCAGTCTAAATCTCCCCTCTTTTAGTTGGAAACCATTTCCTCCTTTCCTGTCACAACAGACCCTTCTAAAGAGTCTGTCCCTGTCTTTCCTATTGCCCCCTTTACATACTGTAAGGCCACTCTTATGTCTCCAAGGAGCCTTCAGTTCTCCAGAACACAGTCTCAGGAGGCTTCAGGAGCTGAGACGGGCAGAAAAACAGCAGGTACTGTGAGCACTGATAAAACCAAAGAAGGCAGCAACACTACATTAAATATGGGTTTGGAATTTAATTTTAAAATTCATCTCATTCCATGTCTGCAGCCTTTAGCTAATTTTCTTCCCAAGATAACTCTGCCGTTGCTAAGCCTTCCAGGAGAGAAACTCATGTTCCTAAGGGCCATTACTGTTGACACAGCGGGACTCCAGCTGAAAACTAATGTGATGTGAAAGCTGGGTCTGGAGGACACCCCTGTGCACACTGCTATGCCCCTGACAGCTCAGACAGAGCACATTTGGTGGAGCTCTGTGCTGAAAATAAGGGTTGCAATTGTGCTGGTGAGGTGGGTGGTGGGAGATGGGCTGTTCCTATGGCATGGGGGAGGGATGAGGGTGAGGGGGCTGAGGAGGAGGGCTGCCTTCACTTTGCTCCCCAGGCGCCTAATTGCAGCGGCATACATAGTGATAAGCTGCCGAACTGCCTTTCATCAGCCAAGAAACCCAGCATGTGAAAAAATTTGGTATGTCATTGTCTGCCCACATAGCTTGCTGCCTGACCTGCCGGTGTACACACAGGACCCAGACATAAAAGCAAATCCACAGCCAGCATGGATGCAGTGAGAGCCCCCACAGCATTGCGCTGAGAGAGGAGCTCAGGAATTCAGGTGATGAAAATCAGTTCCCTTCTGACATGCTGCATGCTTCACTTCTCCCTCCTTTGGGCTGCAGCTCGTGTGACACGGTGCTCCCAGCTGCACATGGGTGGCTCGGATGCGAGGAGCACATGTATTGGAGATCATGAGCATCACGTGTGTTTTAGTTTCCAGATCCAACTCTTGAACATAGAGCATTTACAGGAAACCTGTAGTTTGCTTATTTATTTATCCATCTCTTCCTGTGACTTCCAAGCAACGCTTTGGTTGTCTTTATGCTAATCGGAGCGCTGCTGAATAGAGAGGCCTTTTTCCCCCCATTCTGTCCTGCGAGAGGTCATCTTTATTCAAGAGCTATGAATGATGTGTGCGGGGCACTAATCGCACACAAAGAGCCACGTCCGGAGCCAGCCAAGCATACAGCTGTCCTTTTGTTCACAGGGATGGAGATGGAACCTAAAAAGCGCTCCTGACCCAGGGACAATAGCAGTGGCTTGTGAGACGCCTGAGATTTGGCAGGGCCTCTCCTTCCTGGTGCTAAAGGGCCTTTATTAAGCATAAATCACATCAGCTGCCACCGCAGCCCTTTCTCAGCTCATAAAAGATTCCCCTTTGCTGCCTAAGTGACATGATGGAAAGGGATCGCTCTGAAATACCCTGAAGACCGAAGCAAGGGACCAGGTTAGGACAAATGGCACTTCTGGCTGTTTAATAGCAGCACTTTACTGTCACCGTTACAAAAGTGTTTGCAGCCGGGCTCATTTTTTAAGCTGGGTGGATTCTGTGCTGGCTGGAAATGTCAGGAAGCCACCAGGAAGGTTTGATACCTGTGAGTTATGAACGCAGAGCCCAACAAGCTCCAGGATAAACATGTTGCCAGCGCTGATATCACTGAAAAACTCTGATGCCTCGGGCACCAAGAAAATAAATCAGCGTAGAGCATCTCTGCAAAGAGCATCTCTGTTCAGGGAGTAATTATCAGCCTCCACTGCTCGGTGATGTAAGATCAGACAATCATGTTTCCCCAGGAAGTAAATATTCTTCTTTCCCTTGGAAATAAAAGGGCAGTCTGAGCATAAGGAACAGAATTGCCAACGGAAAATGCTTTGCTTCACATGGTGCTGTTGGCAAATCCTGCCCCTCGTTACCCAGCTGGTGCTTCTGTGCAAGAGGAGGCCCTGAGATGTGACCGGGAGCATGGAACGTGGCATCCACAGGAGCTCTGGGGAGGACATGGATGTGTCCTCCCAGCACATCAAGCTGGCCAGGAATGACTCAAAGGAACCCCCCAGGCTATAACTCTCTGCATACATTTTCTGCTTCTCATACAGAAATGTATCAGCAAAAGCTGGCTCAGATGCCTTGCCCATCCCTCCTCCACCTGCTCATGTTAACCTCTGTGGACATATCCAATTTTACAGCTGTCAGGACAGTTGTCACAGGGAATGTGATTCTCTCCCACCATCACCCCTGCCAGCAAGCTGCTGTCTGTGTTCCAGTGCCTCACAGATCTCTTGGGCTGGATGCACCAAGACTGTGCTGCAATTAGCTCAGTGCATTTGTTTTACCTGCTGGAACAGGTAATTCAGTAGCTGGCACTAATCCCCAAATTCAGCATCCATGCAACACTCAGTGACACTTCTGATCATCACCTCACACTCTGTGAAAGCACATTAGTGGCTCTCACAGGCAAGCCTGTCACTGGATAACAAACAGAGTAATTTTTCATACTCCCAACACATCCTGCAGCTTTTGACAAGCATCCTGCTGCTCTCCCAAGGATTCCTATGTAGCTGAGAGCATGAGCCAGTGTCTCACAGCACAGCTCCTGCGCAAAGTGAAGCATCACTGAGACCACGTCTTGGGCTCTGGTTGTGCCTTCCCTACAAGACTCCAGGGTCAGCTCCCAGTGCTGATAAACACACAGGCTTCTTGTTCTGCTTTCACTGTCTGTTTGTAGAAAGCTGAGTTGACTGTTGAGATTTTCCAGATTTGTGTTGTATTTCTGCATCCTATTAAATTAATTTCGAAATAATTTTAGGGGCATACATTTTTCCATTGAAGACTTTATCCAGTTTCCAAATATCAAGCAGATTTCAGGTCTGATTTATCCTGCCACATTCTGGTGCAAACTCTGCAAGCCCATTGAAGAGTCATCACCTTCTAAGCAGCAACTCTGACTCTGAACCTGCAACAACTGGTTGCTGCCAACACACCTGCAGTATGTGAAGGATACACAACTGCAGACTGGGTTGTTTTGCCTTACCCAATGGTTGAAGCTCTTTGTGGTTGTGAAGCCATTTTGCTTTGTGAAGATTTTGGTGAGATTCTGAGTCGTGCAGTGTGGAGCCAGGAGTTGGACTCGATGATCTTTGTGGATCCCTTCCAAATGGAGGTTATGCAGACACGTTCTTTCCTGGTACTGGTAATGTGCTGGAAAAAGGGTGAATGGAATGTTAGTAATACTGAAACTGGCCATCACATGGCTACTTTTCAAAACTCATTGGTATGAAGTGCTCACTATTTTTTTCACAGATGTCATTTAACTTCAGTTTTCTCCTGAATAGCGTATCTCAAAATTGAGACAAATGTTTAATATCTCGAGGCATATCTCATAGACAAAGTTGTAAAGCTAAAGGAATATGGTCAGTGGGCATGGTGGTGATGGGTTGATGACTGGACTAGATGATCTTAACAGCCTTTTTCAGCCTTAATGATTCTATGATTCCATCAAAGCTCAGTGTACCTGAGTAAAGTTTGGTTTGTTAACATTTAGGATAGCTGATTGGAATAAAAGGCAGAGAGAAAATGAGGCTTCAGTAGCTTTGGTCTTCAGATTTCTTATTTTTTATTTGCTATAAGCCAGAATAAAATACAGAATAAGATTTCACATACTGAAAGTATCGTTCTATGAACTCTCTTTGCACTGAGGAGCTTTAAGCCATTCTAAATGTTGTTTTTTTTCCCTTTAAAATAGCTTTTCAACTGCTTCAATGCACAGACATGAGTTTCAAATGTATTTCACTCACTCATTAAACAGAAGAAAAAGGACAACAAATGTCAAAGCGAAAATGTGCAGAGATGGGGAGATGATTTAGCCTTATTAATAGCTATTGACCATGGTGTTTGCTTTATAAGTTGCAGATGTAACTTCTAGCAAAGTGGGATTGTTTTGGAGTGTTTGCATTTTCTCCTCCCTGCCCTTGTGCCTCTTTTGGGGGCAGGGGACTGGGACTGGATAATCTTGGCGGTCCCTTCCAACCCAAGCCATTCTATGATAAGCTTCTCTAAATGTCTGTTTGTTGGGGAAGGGTGGCCATCAGCTCTATGCACAGCATTGAAACAGCAGAGCATGAGCTTCTCTGAGATAGGCATGCTGCAGATACCCACTTATTGCTTAACAGAAACTTAATATTGCACATAGAAAATCTCTCAGATAAATATATACACTCCTGTTCAGCCTGGCATGTCCCTGCTGCACTGGGGGGTCTGTGGGGTGTGTGACTTCTGATAGTGCCCTGAAGGTGCTGGGGAAGTGTAAAGGATTCTTTCTCTATTTCTAAGCAATTATTGCACTGTAGGATGAGGATATATGACAACTACGCAAAGCCTACGCTTTTGTCTTTACTTATGTGAAATTCCTGCACTGTATTCTGCTGTCTCCTGCACAGCAGCTGATAATGGGGTCTGTTCTGCAGCCCTGCAGAGCTTTAGCCCCAGGCAAGAAGAGTTCTGGGCCAGAAATATCGAAACTTGCATACCTACAGGGAAAAGTGCTCCCATTGATTTTTTTTTCACTGAACTGCTATGGAGATCTTAGAATATCAGCAAACCTCTTCTGAAATCATCATCCCATTCCTAGTAGCACACATACAATTGACACTTGTTCTGAAACCAAACAGAAAGGAGATGGATGCAAAATCCTTGTTTCTCTGATGGCACCGCTCACAATTTGGAGTTGCTGGAGTTTTTAGGCTGCTGTGAGAAACCTGCAGTATCCAGCACTTGCCATGTGAAGGACTTCAGTGTAAATTCAGACAGTGTTGGACACATTTCAATCAATTATAGGAGCTCAATCTTTTTTTTCCAATTCCCAATGGCTGCAGGTGAAGGAGGACAACTGCAACCAAGGCAGAAGTTTTGCTGCCTTTGCTCTCCTTGCCTCAGCCTTCCCCACTGCTACTGCATGTGACGTTGGCTATTTTTATCCTCCATAAAGACGGTATCATCAACTCCCTCTGCTGCAGAAGAAGCTGTGATGGATAATTTAATAGCAAACGTTCAGATGGTTAGTGATGCAGGGAGGATTTTTAAAGTCAGAGGGAAGCTGAAGAGGCAAAGGCTGCGCTGCGCTTCTGAAATCTCAAGAAGGAAAATTACAACAACGAAAACTGATGTAGACAAAACTCTTGCTAAGGTGTAAGATGCTGAAAGAGCCTGGGGGTCCATGGGGTACAGAGAGGCTCAGTCCCTGGGCATGGGCAGTGATGGTCACAGCACTACAGACACAAAGTCGATGAGGAGCAATCTCCTGCGTGGCTCACAGGAAGAGGGCTGTTCATCCATTATACCCCCACCCAACATCACCCAGAAAAACAGACTGGCTGCTCATGCCACCAAACCACAAGGCAGCTATTTGGGTCAGCAATGAGGCAATCAAGACAAGCCAGAGGTTTGTCTGTCTTCAGACACTCGCTACTGTTGGATGAAAAAAAAAAAAAGTACTCAATAGTTTTCTTCGGTGGAGGAAAGATACAATTTCTTTGAAGAATCTCTCTTGACATTAGGAATCACCTGTTTTTCTATCTTATTAAAACCGTGTGTTGCTGGAGGAAGGGTGCTCCTTCCTTGGAGCAAAAACCATGTTGTAACAGACATCATTATCCTTAATGTCTTCTGTTGACTGGAAGATACCACCATGCTGAGCTGTGCACACAGGAAGGCACTACAACTACAGTGGCATAATTCCCCTAGAGCGGGCACAGATGTGTTGTTATAAATACATCTGCATTGGGATAGCTATTCCTGAGCAGAAATGGAGTGACTCTTCCAGTCTAAAACATGCATGCCAATTATACCAGTATAATCTATGCAGTAGGAGAGGTAGTAATGTAACTTCATAAAGTAGTTAAGGAGAAATTTACCAGCTACCGTGTTGAATACTTATTGGTGAGCAAATAAGCTCGGGTCTGTTGTTAAATCTCTCCTATGTAGCAGACACAGTAGGACCCATATGGATAGCAGTATTAAGTGTTAATGGACATTAACACTCTGACTCCTGCAAATGTCAATAAAATCCACGCCCTGGTAAAAATAATGATGGTAGCACAAAGCCTGAGCTTAAGCCCATGTCCTGTGTGAACAGCCATGCGGAAAGGAAGCAGGTTTGCATCTTCCCTCAGCAGGGAAAAGGTGAACCTCACGTCAAAACCCTCCTGGTTTTGAGATTTCAGTCATACCTGTCCTTGGCAGGGGTTTGGCATCAGGATGAGGCTGCAATTACCCCTTCCTTGGTGGGACCAGCCTCAGGGCCAGGGCAGACTCACCCCCTTTCTCTTGGATGTGCTGAGGGATCAGTGAGACACAAGCATTAGTGTCGAGTGGCAGCTTTCACACTCTTCTTTCGTTTGTCACTCTCAGCTTACATTTATATACATACCACAGTCTTGAGGAGTACAGGATTCAGCCTTTGCTAATATTTTGCTAGAGCCCAGCATCAGGACTTCTGTTTGGTCTGGCAGGGCTCATTTCAAAGACGTCTGGTCCCCACAGGGGGCAGCTGGCTTTCTCTCTTTCTTCATTTCAACCTGCCAGCTGTCTACTCATTTCTGACTTTTAGACTTGTTTTTGTTCCCAGGCAGAAATATCTGTGCAGGGCAACGCTGAGCTGATTCGGTGGCAAGCTGAGTAATTTTTCAATGACATAATATCAGCCCATTTTAATCCCTGCAAAACTTCACTCTCCTATAAACTGGATACATTTAATTTATTGGCAGCATCAATAAAATAAATGGAAGAAGAGGTTAAAAGAAGAATTCCCATGTCTTTCCTGCTTTCTTAGGAAAAGCAGTTCTGGAAAGTGGACACAGGATGCAGAGATATGCTTTGCTCTGCATCTCCTTGGTGACTTTTCCAAGCTTGCAGAGATGTTCCTCAGTACTTGTTATTTCTGTTCCTAGCTGAGCCACAGACATCACTATAAAGAGAAATATGCCACCATTTTCTGAGAGCTGCTGACGAGGCAAAGAAGAAGCCATGATGTGCAATCAAGCTTTGTGTTTCTTAAACCAACAGGGAATGCTATGATGACTCCAGTGGCCTTGGCAGTTCAACAACACCAAGTTTTTTCCCAGGATGAATGTAAATGAAAAAAAGCATTCTTTCTGGTTTAACACACCCCTCTGAGAGCCATCTCAGTCTCTGCTTCTCCAGGGTGCCAATCACAGTTGTGTGAGAAACTCTCCTCTTGCTTCCAGCCGCTTCTTGGTGGTGTGGGTGGAATTGCTGTTCTGTAGGTAAGGGTGCCCCAGGGCTCCATTTTGTGAATCACGCTACAACAGCCACCTCTTATCTGCCAATCAAGGAATTATCTGACAAGTCACTTTACAACCTACCATCCAGTACTTTACAATCTACCGTAGGGTAGACTTTTTGCCAAGATAGTTTGTGGTTTATTCTGAATAAATGCATGCTAATCTCATTTAATCTAGGATGTATGCAGTTCCCAAAACTTCCTGCCCTCTCCCTGTGCTCTGTTTACAAAAATTGCAGCTCTTCCTCCTGCTGCTTGGATGCCGACAGGGCTCTGGTATGCTCTGTGTGCATTTGTTGCATTCTTATATCTTTTCTTTTCCTTCTTTAACTAAAAGTCAATACCAGCTTCTCTTCAAGGCAAGGGCAAGGCTGTGATGGATTTCAGCAGGTGAAAGGCTGGGCCTTTAGCTACTATGGTCACGTACCAGAAATGAGAACAGAATCACTTCCATGGGACGAGGGCACCTTTGAAATCCATTATCCACCATAAACCCTGTTGGTCCCACAGCACAGCTGCAGGCACAGCAGTCACACAAAGGCAGCTCGAGTTACCAGAAATAAGATGAGTTACCAGGCCTACCCTGAGCACGGCTGAACGGCTGGAGAGACTTTCAGCATCAGCCCTGGCAATGCTGGAAAGAGAATCATGCTAAAAATTATATTGTGCCAAGAGAACTTGCTTAGCCCCAGCAAGGTAGATGACTGCGTAGGAGGGTTTGGTTACCACAAATACAATGATACTGGAGTGCAGTTTTATGTCCTGACTGGCTGGGAAAATGTTGTGAGTGTGTTAATGGTAGCATTTAGATGGCCCCAGCTCCCTAGTGCTGCTCCCAAGCTGTGGGAGGCCCTGGCTGGTGCCAGGAGGCAGACCCGGTGACCCTTGTGGGCCCCTTCCA